TTTTTTTGGACCATTTCTCGAGTTATGCGTGTCATCCTTGAAAGCGCAGGGGCCATTCTAATGCTAATCTTGTGTGTTTAGTTCCAATTTTAACGGATGTCCCGAAGGACCGTTTGGTAATCTTCTCTGTCTCTGTATCGTTCCAATTTTAAAGGATGGCGAACATGGCACAAATTCAAAATGCTCCCAAACTAATTCAATTAATACCTCCCATCCATGAGGAGAATGAAATCCAATACATAAATCAGTTAGTAAAAGGATAAAAAAAGCTTTCATAGTATCACTTAAACTATAAAAAAGCTCCTGAAGCCAAGAATTACGTACAGTGAGTCTTTTTTTTGCAATACACAAAATAACGGTTATTGTGAATATTCCAATAAGATCTGTTATCAATTCAACGACAACAGGTGTGCATGTTGTTGATAAACAGGTCGTGAGTTCGAAGGCCGAGGAAATAAGATGGATGCAATACAAAAAGAACAAAAGAAAGAAAAGATATACAATGGAACCGAGGAAAAAAAAGATGGGCTGAAAAAGGGGAAAAAAAAACAATGGAACCGAGAAAAAAGATCGGCTGAAAAAAAAAAAAAAAAAGGGGAAAAAGATGGGCTCATTGAGCTTCATTGCAGTTTATTCTCAATACTGACCTATGAGTGGTGTGCTGGCTGGTCCACAACTGCAGCTGTGGGTTAACAGGTCAAGGGTTCAAATGCTCCTGACAAAAGGTGGCAAAATGCAAAGTCACAATATTCTACATGGAAATGCAGTGAGGGGGGCAGACAGATTTTGACATGACATGAGTAATTTCCAAATTACCAATTCAGACTATTCTTTCATAGTCCTCCTCCCCCCCCCCCCCCCCCCCCCCCCCCCCCCCCCTTTGACTCATGAATATAGCCTATACCGCATTCTTCGGAGGCCGGGCGCCACCAGTGGCGGTGGTTCACTGCCAGCCAAAACAAAAGAAAAAAGGTCGCGCCAGCTCTAGTACTCCACCTTAGACTATGCAAAAAAAAAAACAAAAAAAAAAAAGAGGCTCGGAGGTAGTGGCGGTAATCGCCCATGTAGCCATGATTGTAATACCGGAAAGAGAAAAATAGGTGACCAAATAAAATGAGACTACATGAATTCAAATGGAACACCCTAGAACACAATGCACCCTCATCATGACTTCATGAGTTCGAAAAAAATAGCTTGTATACAGCCATTATGACGCTGCAATCTATACGTTGGGGGAAGAGGGTAGTCTATGCCCCCATAGTTCAGGTTGTCCCCTCCTCCATATTGATTGCCACCATCCCTTTCCCCCCCAGGTCCTCCATTTGGGTCCCTGCCCCACCACCTGGTCCACTATTCAAATGTGAGAACAACAAAACATCATAATGGTGGGCGGACCTTTCCACGTTCTAGCCGGAAATACGTTCACATTTCACACATTTGGTTCACATTTCGCACGTTTGGTGGGTGATGTGGCAGGGCCCGTGGTCTGTGGATGGATGCGTATTGCTCCAGATGGGAAGATCCTAAGTACGACCGGATACTGACTACTCTCCCTCCCCAACATCTCCGGGGAGAAGCCGACAAATCCAATGTCATTGACGCTGACATCACAAATTATCCTATGTTGTTGACGCCAACGAGGCCTATATTATTGACGACAAAGTGACGGAAGAGAGCATGGCGGTGCTGAGGGCTAACATGTTGTCATGTCGTAGGAGGATCTGATGGACATCGCCATCTCCTTGCAAGATCTGATGGACGGCAAGACTGGATAGATATATTTATCCATCTAAGGGTTGACGTCAAGCAAAAATGTGGGTCTCCTTCTGGGCCATGGTTCTTGCCCTTTCGCTCCTGACGCGTGGCAGTCAATGTGCTGTCTATTACTTTTCGTCAGTCGAAGGAAATGACCAACTGACGGAGCCAGAAGTAGGCCCGGATAAGCCATGGAGAACGCTTAGCCGAGCGAGTGAGGCCGTCGCCAGAGCGCAGCCCGGGGATGAGTTCCTCTTCTGCAGTGGTGACACCTGGTATGACGAACAACTCACGATTACAGCAAAGGGAACACCCAAGAAACCTATCGTCTTCTCGTCCTATCCATGTCAATCGGATAACGTTGAGGGTGAGCGGCCTATCTTTGATGGGTCCATACCTTTCGACGGAGACCTAAAGTTCTCTCCTTGGGAAGTGCACGAGGAGGTGAAAGTGCTCGACTTGTCGACCTTTTCTCGTCTACCTAACAACTCCATCGTATCACGCATCTTCATTAACAACAAACTGTACTATTCCCCAAGAGCTCCAAACTATACAAACCACGACGATGCAACTGGTGACATTGGCGAATACATAGGACCGTTTACGATTGTACCAGACGAAAGATCTCAGGAAGTTACGGTTCTTCGGTCAGCTAAGCTCCTGGATCTGCAGAAAGCGGATGGTTATTGGAAAGGTAGTAGGGCTGTCATTCGTAACGCAGTAGCCACATGGGCAATCCGTGACGTAGTCAGCCATGAAAATGATACCCTTACGGTGTTTCCGCCGCTGTACAGTGAGCTGGAGAGTGTTTACCTATACCTAGAAGGCAAGCTGTCAGAATTGGATTCCCCTCGAGAGGCTTTCTTCGACCCTGTTTCTCGAAAGCTCTACTTTTTCCCCATGCCTTATGCAGCCATTGAACAGATCTCCTTCGTCGTCGACAAGCATTCCTCACTTGTAAACATCCAGCCAGGATCTACCAACTTACTCTTCCATCGAATCCGTATCAACAAGGGGAGGCGAGGGTTCTTTCAGAACTCCTATCTCCCGAGTCTGTCCGTGTCGTATTCTTCAAGCACTGTGGCAGCCAACAAGATTGTGATTCATGACTGTGTGGTTGAGAACACAGAAGAGGGCATTGTTGCAGACAGGCCAAATGTGGACCTTTGGGTGGATGGTAATGTTGTCGGTTGGACAATTGGTGACGGTATACGATTAGGCGGAGGTGGTGTCAACATAACAATTGCACCAGCCCGAGGCGGATGGTCGACTCCGGCGGAAACCTACCGCAGTTGGGTCATCCGAGCATCCAGAAATCGAGTCCATGATACAGGGTACATTGCAGGCTGGGGTTGGAGCTCTGGTACAGGCATTCAAGCTCCTCAAGCAGATGACAATGTTGTTTACCGAACGGGTTTCACTGCGATCACCGGTATTCCCAGTCAAAGCTATTCCTTCACCAATAACACAGTCTTCTCCTTTTCGCTTTCTAACCCTGGAGGTTCGGGGCTGTATGGCAACGGCAGTTTTCTGAACATCACCCACAACTTGGTTGTAAGTGGGTATGGGAACGGGGCAAGCTTTGGGGCCTCCGACCCTGAGAACAGGTACCTTTCTGGGTCCTATGGCATCCTTATGGATGGACCCTCTACCCAAGGGTTTCTCGTGTACAATAACACAGTGGTGAATGTCCGAGGCATAGCCCTCGACCATTCTGATGCTCAAAATGGCACGTGGAAAGATAACTTTGTCGTCAATGACATCGGCGATGTGTTCTCGCTGTCCTTCATCGATGGCAATGCTCGTAATCGTGTTGAACGGAACACAATTGTAACTCGTACCAACATGGTCGTAATGAAGTTGATGATCCAGCCAAGGAGAGCCACATCGTCTGCCGAGTTCGGCATTGCCGATATTAAAGACCAAGTGAGCTGGGATGGGGGATTGGTGTGTGCTCTTGACCAGGCAAGCTTCGAGCCCGCACCCTTGGCTCAAGTCTTCAGACTAACCCTGATGAGAGGGTTGTCCTTCTTGATGGACTTTCCCAAGTGGGAAGGTGAAACAGGAGACCCATCAAAGTTTTGTGACAAGGATCAAGCGCTTTCCGTGCAGGAAAAGGCGGAGACCACCTTGCGTCTCATAGCGAACATGAATGACTACCACGAGCTGGAAGACAAGAAGTTGGATATTTATAGGCTCGCTGCCAGACCATTCGGCGACCGAAAGCTCATAGTGGCAAACATGAATCTGCTACAGACGACAAAGTCTCCCCGAGCAACAGGACGGAGGTCGGGCGCATACAACATGTTCTCAGCTAGTAAGGGTGAAAACCCTGTTCGGCCACGTCTCCTTCGTGCTGTCCTCTTCGCCATCCTCCTTGCTGGAATATGCTTGGTGCTGAGATAACATGTTATGTTTTTTTTTTTCCTTCTTACTATGTTCATCTGATTGCAACTCTGGATTCGAACTCGAGTCTGTATTTCGACAGTTCATGGGTGTACAAACTGAGCTAGGCCCGTTGGTCGGTTATCTCAAGATGGTACGGCCTTTAGCTGCGGCAGGTGCTTGCCCACCACAAGCAAGCAAAAAATGCTGTCACTGTACCTGCCTCCCTTTTGACATGTGAATGCCACCGTTGCAATCCTTGGCGTGAGTCATGTCAATATCATGGCCTTGTATTGTGGCATGACACACAGGTGGCAGGTTGGGACTTGGCGACAATTCTTTCGCATATCATGGGACCAATTGGGTACTACAAGACAAACTTGGGGCTGTGACACAACCACTGGCAGCAGGCAAATGACCCTTGGCTGCTGTGAGGCAAGATGGGGAAACTTATATTGCGGAAATCGCAGCATGAGCATATAGCAAATGGTGGTCGCACGTCAGGTAAAAAAGGGTGGAGACTTGCTATCAGGTGTACTCTGGTGCCTTGGGATGCAGCGTTGCTACCATACCAGTGGTACGCCAGTGGCTCTAGGAAAACCCTAAGCCCTCAGTAAAGGACCAGGAGATGACATGATGACAACTTTCGAGTGGAGCTCTCCAGGCCAACTACTGCATCTTGTCCGATCTCTATTCTCCGTTGGCGGCCCAATGTGTCACTGTTCCAGATTGCTCCTTCAGCCTGACAGTGTGCGGTCCCAACTTCTCCTTGGCAGCCCCAACTTCCAGTTCCGCCGTCCAGCGGGGTCAGGCCTAAATGAAACCCCTGCCTCTCTGCTCTTAGCTTCTGCCAACCAAGATATTCATTGCCACCGGTGCACACCCGTTTACAAACGCTGCAATGCATGGCCAGGTACGCTCAGAAATGTGAAAAACACATCTGGCGTGTGAAAACATCGGTGTCTGAGCAAATGTATTCCAACATTCCACAAAGAACAAGGCCATCTGTGCTGCAACCGTAAGGTTCATTGCATCTTCTGTAATGGTCAACAAGGAAGGACACCATCGTCTCTATTGCGACCATACAGTTGCTTCGAGTTTTCAGGCACAAATCCTACAAAACTCCCAAACGCTATTGTCTTCTCCTAAACACACCACACTCTTACCACAATGTATACAAGGTAGCTTTCCATCCAGAGACCGTCAGGATGAGGATGCCCTGTGTTAGGGAAAATTTGAAAGATGGTAGTGAGCACGCGCTCCATTCGTCTGGCTTGCGTACTCAGATAATCAGTCAGAAGGAGTTGTAGTTCGGCAGACTTAAAACCACAAGCACACCTGGGCCTGGAGGCACTGGACTGTGTGCCAAGCTTTTGTGAACCGCCAGCAGCACTCTTTTTCTTTTTTGGCTGGCGCCACCAGCTATTGTGGTCCGGTAGCCCCGAGCCGCCAACATTTTGGAGTTGGCGACTCGTGGTTTTCTACAAGACGGGGACCGTGTACTGGGGGGTTAATGTATCTGAACGCTCCTCGACTCTTGTTCGTTCAAGTTCATGCCCACTTCATTTTCACAGTATGGTTCGATTGACCAGGCGGCGGTCGGTCGTAGGCGCCGTCTGGCCATTTGGCTGTAATGCCCTCGTCGCCCTGTTGTGAAATATATGCTCCCTGTACGATTCAGAGCTTGGTTTAGGTTTGTGAATGCCCGTAAGTGGTGGTAGCAACCAGCCTGAGGGGCATTTCAACTTTTTGACGGAATGCTTGGGGCTCAGTGTCAGAAGGAAGGAATTCTTCTTTCTTGGTCGGAAGTTGCTCCATTAGGCCCAAAGGTAGACGTTCCTCGCTCCTGCGAGCCATGTCAAGTCACTGAAGATAGGACTGCTCCTTAGGGAATCTAGATGATATCGAACGACTTTCTCGTCTTATCTACCAAACATTTTTTTTTTTTTTTTTTTTTTTTTTTTCAAGCAAAACGACAACTGAGATGATTAGGAATGATGATATGAGCATACATTCCTAATCACCCAGCTGAGACTCCAATCTATTGGTGGGTAGTAGCACCTGCTGGAAATCGGGTCCAGCGTCCCTTAACAAAGTTGTGTAACAGAACCTAGAGAGTTCCGGTTGATCTACCAACATGTTCGGGCTTCCTTGTTACTTGATATCCCATTTTTCACTTCCCCTTCCTGCGTACTGGCGAAGTAGCCAGTACACGACTATATCAAGCTGAGAACCATAATTATTCTTACTCAGCATGTGAGCATTGGTGTGCAAAGGGAGGGCGTAAGGGTGGGGGAGGAGGGAGGTGTTGAATCATTCGCCAGGTGAATGGCGTCAGGTGACCGTCAGCGAAGGATAGGACCACGCGAAGGGGAGGGGTGAGAATGGTGACCAATAACTGACAGCAAAGCAGAGGACCATCGTGTCGGTCTGCACAGCCTGAGAGAGATGATTGCTGTGAAGTCGGGAGCAAACGGCAGACTGAGTGTGAAGTCATCTATAAATGGCACGCTCCTGCCACCACCGTGCTGTTTCTCTCCTCAACTGGGTGGAGGAGCAGGAGGATTGGCTGGTTCGGTCACACAGGCCAGAAGTTGTGTGCTGTGCTTGGAGTTTAAAGGGTTTTTTTTTTTTTTGACATCCCTTGCGGGTGCTAGAGGTGTTGATAAGAGCAATCACCGCTAGCCCCCAAGGGAGACTCCATCTATTGGTGGGGAGCATCACGTGCTGGAAAGCGGGTCCAGCGTCCCACATACAACCAGGTCTGAGATCGTCTGAGGAGAGAGTTTTTTTTTTTTTTTTTTTTATGCTTCCGAGTGAATAGGATCGCATTTGCTGAGGTGAGACAATTAATGCAATTGCAATGACAAATTGACTCCTGAGTCTCCTGGCAGTTGAGATTTATTTGCAGTCCGCAACTTCACTCATCACTGTATTAATATCACTGGAGTCACAAGTAAGTATTAGACATTTTTTCCCGCTCTGTAAATGAAAACATATTGTACCGAGGATACTCCTGTCTTGAAGGTGTTTTTGAGAATTGAGATGGGCGTGAAGTTCTGAAGTGGTTATCCTCCAGGCAGCCCAAACTTAGCCAGATGGGAGGGGAGAGGTTTGCAGGGGAATTAGTACCATCTCTGATCCTCAAAGCCCCAGGTCTCTTCTGTGTGTGTGTGTGTGTGTGTGTGTGTGTGTGTGTGTGCTGTCTCTTATACACATCTAGATGTGTATAAGAGACAGTCTCTCTGGTGGCATAAGTGGCAGTCCGAACGTGGACGTAAAAGCGGCCAGGTACGTACTTTCCTCGCATGAACGTCACAGGTGAGCACGGTCGTTGGCAGCAGTAAGAGGCAGAGGGAGCAGGGTGGAAGAGCGCTATGTTCATACTCGGAATGCACGAACCTGGCCGCCATTACGTACATGTTCATACCTTGGAAGCATAGGGGCGGAAACAGGCGAGGAATGGCATGTCGGCCACAGGGGAAGGACGGACGAGTGGGAAATTAGGATCGCATGTGAGCATAGACTCTCTCTGTGGTGGCATAAGCGGCAGTCCGAACCTGGACGTAAAAGCGGCCAGGTACGTACTGTCCTCGCATGAACGTCAGTGGTGAGCACGGTCGTTGGCAGCAGTAAGAGGCTGAGGCAGCAGGGCGGAGGGGTGCTATGTTCATGCTCGGAAATCATGAACCCTCCCGGCATTACGTACATGTTCATGCCTTCCAAGCATGAACATAGCACCATCAATGTGGCCTGGCCCTATCTGAGGAACGTAATGCGCTCGATCTGGAGAAAGCATGGCTGGCTACGGCAACGCCATTCCCCATCATCACGAGAGGGGATGTTGGGAGACAGAGGTCACCGTCACGGTGATAGTCTCCACTGCCAAGTCCTTTGGAATGGGAACGATTCGAGGGAGGTGATTCCTCGCACGCTGTCCTCCGACTATAATTTTTCGAGCGAATGTGACCGCCATTCCATCCACACACATACAGAAAAGTCCTCCTACCGGTAGTAGTGTGAGAATCTGTCCTTACAGTGGGGGACTGAGGGAGATCAAATCGGATCCAAGAAGGACATCAAGTTGACCCAACCCATGTGTCTCACTGGTCCACATACACGGACACAGTCATTCTTCATTTTTTTTATTTTTTTTTGAAGGATTCTTCATTTGTGGAGTTGTATATGGTGGCGAACATGGACCATTTCTCGATTTATGCGTGTCATCCTTGAAAGCGCAGGGGCCATTT